CGCCAAGCCGTGTTTGCGTGGGGCCCATCGGGGCGCCGCGCGAGCGCGCGGGAGGTGAGCTGGGTGTCCCGGAGACGACCCTGGCGAACGCCCGTCACCTATGCCGGGTCTGTGAGCACCCGCGGAGCCTTCTAACTCCAAGTTCTCCGACCCAGCCTCGCGCGGAATTCCCCTCCAGGCCCGGGGAAGATGTGGCTTTTCTCCCCCGCTGCCGCCCGGGCAGATGGGCCAGGAGACCGCGAGGGGGACCCGGGGGCTGCGGGGGGCTGCAGGGGACACTGAGGCACAGGACACAGGGCAATGAGGGACAATGCAGGACCGGAAGGGACAGTGAGGGACACGGTGCGGAGCCGTGAGGGACGGCAGCAGCGACAGCCAAGAGTGTGGAGGCCGCGTTGGCCACGTCGTCCGTGCTATCGCGCGCCAGGAAGCTGCCAGGCTCGGTGGCGTGGACCCCCAAGCCCGCCCGTCCACCTCGCTCCGCGTTTACCTGTCACCTGTCGGGCCGAGTGGCCTCGACGTCTCTTGGCACCCGGGGGAAGGGCCGGCCACTGATGCCCAAGGACCGACGCCGGCGAGGCTGCAGAGGAGGTTTCTGGGGGCGCCAGTGATGCAACTTGGGCTTATAGTTTAACCGTAAAATAAATAACACAAACGATAACAAACCAAGAGCAGCTAAAGTGAGAAAAAAAGCAAACAGACAGAAACCCTCCAGTCGGAACTCTGCAGATTCCCGAGTGTCGCGCTGCCGTAGAGGCTGGAACCTGCGGCTGACCTCCCCGGTCTCCCGGCCCTTCTCGCGCTTGTAGGGTAAGGCCCTGTGGTTGGACTGCCAGCATCGCCTAATTGGGGCAGTTTAACATATGGAACGAGATTCCGGCCTCATTATCAGGTTAACGATTAACTCTGTGCCTGTGAACTTACTTGCCTTTTCTTCAGCATTGGTAATTTACATTCTTTAATTCAAATGCCTGCTTTTGAATTCAAGGCCATAAGCACCAAATTAAATATATACACACATATGTGTGTGTGTTTATGTATGTGTATTATATATGTGTGTGTGTGTGTGCGCGTGTGTGTATATATGTATGTGTATATATTCCCTTTGCCTTCTATGTCGCAAGATAAACATGTTTGGCACAGACCGGCTACATTTATTTATTTTGGAACTGGGGATTGAACTCGGGTCCTTGCCTTGCGTTTGTGAGGCAAGTGGCGGAACCACTGAGCTAAACCCCCAGCCCCTGGCTACATTTTTCTTCCTGATGGTCCCTCTGGCTTTTAGGGGCTGTTGGATCATCTTCCTGCCACAATATTTATCAACAATTTAGTTATCTCAATTTACTTATCCTCTCACTGTCATTCACTTAGTATTATTTTAGGATCATGAAAATCAGTCAACTATTGCTGATTTTCTTACTCATTTAACTAACATTTTTTTTTTTTCTGATTCACAGAAAATCTACCCAGATCTTTCAACCCCAGACATAACTCACTTTTACGTTCCCAGCTACCCCATATGCTGTTATCAGGATAAAAAAGATCTGCCTGAGAATATCCTTTCAAACCTCACAGTGCAGCATTTACTGAATGGGGACTGGGGGAGCTCCAGTTTCATTTAAAAGGAACCCTAGTTACGCTATTTCAAGTCACCACAATACAGTTGTAATTTGTGCTTTGGCCTTATTGGCATGCTTTTACATTCCCCTATTCATAAAACAGTGATAATCACCAGGGCAACCATCAAACACACCCCTTCTTTAGAGAAAGAAGATCAACAGGATATAGCTGAGCTGTAGGATGTGCTAATGTGTTGGTAAATTATCAAAAACCATATGAGTAATACGTGATTAGTCTGATTTTTGTCTTCTATTTTAAACTTGCAAAATAAACATCTGATTTATTCATTTTTGGGGAAAAAAGTCATAGGTGCTAGCTTAATGAACTCAGCTTATACTTATGTTCACATAAGAGTTTCTCAGCTGTGGAGTTGATGAGAAGACTTACACCCCACTAATCTGTTATCTAATAGTATACTTGATATTTTGTAATTACATCAATATGTCAATAATGTTGTAGAACATTCTGGGAAGAGATGAAAAGGAAAAATGCTAAGCAACATAAAGTGATTCTAGCATGTTTATTGAGTGATCATCTGTTGTTCTTCAATGGATTTGGACATTAGATTAATAATTCAGAGAAAATATTCTTTTCTTCTCAACCTAACGTGTTTTCAGTTGTTTCCAATAAGAAAGAAATTTAAACTCCGAGCTTTTAAAAATCTCACAGAAAATGATTCCATTTCCCAAGAAATTTGTTAGCTGATTGTTTTGAATAGAACTTAAACATTAAAAAAATGAGAATTGTGTCATATTGACGCAAATTATCATTTTGCAAATGCTCTTCTTTCAGCATAAGGAGAAACTGTCTTTGGAGCAAGATCAAGACTGAGGTTTTGACTCAGAAACCTGAGAATCACATTGCTCCTTCCTGTCCTCTCAAAGAAATTTTTGTTATGTATAAGCAGAAATGTGCTGGACAGGGGCCTTATCAAATGTGGGCCTATGTGATTATGCATTGAGGTCCTATAGAAGAGTATGCACATTTTTGGCATTTATTCATCTTGATCATAGGTGGTTTTGTGTTCCTGCTAACAAATAGTTTAAAGTGAGACACTTTTTGCATTACCTCATTAGTCCTGGAGTTTTTATTTCTGTGTGTACATGGATATAAAGGTATATTAGGTACTTATGTTTTGACTGGTCTGTAGTGTGTGATTTAAAAAAAAAACACATGGAAGATGGAAGAACTGCACCCTTTAGAAGCTTCTCAGTATCTGCACTATATTCTGGAAACACTCATGCTTAGGCATTTATATTCTATATCTCCAATAAACTCCAAGGATTACTTTAAAATGCACATGCCAATGTAGCCATGAGATTTCCACAATGCAACAGAGGCTTGCGCTGAGTCCTTCATCTTAGCAGACATCTGAAGAGCAGCACAGAAAACATCTTGCAATACTCCATCATTTCTTTGTGTTATTAGGAATTTTACTCTCCTAGCTTTTCCCCTAAAA